ATTTTTTTAATATAATTTAATGATTAAAAAATATATATTAATTATTTTTTAATCTATACCCTTAAAGTATTAGTTAAAAAAACCTCTAAAATAAATAAGGTAAAAGTAAAATCTCCATACTTACCCTAAGAAGTCAAGAAAATCTCTTCCCATTTGGAATTGAAATTTTTAATCCAAGTTTGGTTTAAACCCTTAAATTTATGAGCCAAGTCATATTTAGCCAAACTCCTACTGTCCAAAATAATAATTTAATTGGAAAAATCAAATCTTACTTTTTAATGTTTTTTATTTATTGCTAATTTACGTTATTGGTGTTGTTAGGGGGGTCTACAAAGGTAAGTTATGGAGATTAAATTTTTATTTTCTACTTAAATCACTAAGTTATGTACCATTTGATAGGATAATTATAATAAGTTGTAGAATCAATTCTTTAACGAAAATGAAAATTTTGTCTAATCATAGTAAATTTAGGCTATCAAAAGAGTTAGGCGAAGATATATTGTTTTATTTATTTTAGTTTATATATTACTGTATAAAATTTTCTTTTGATGAACTTAATTTTAGTTTTGTTATCAGTTTTGAGGTAAAGATATTTGGTTAGTTTTTTTGATAAGTGATAATTTTTTTTTTTAAAGTTTCGTAATTATTGTCTTTATATTTTTGTGAAGTAAGTATTTTTTGAGTTTTTTTTTATTAATAAGTAATATTTTAAAAAAGTAATTATTTATATAACTTGTGAATAATGTTGCCTTTCTGAAGTTTTTCTAATATTATTTTCCTCTTTCTTCGTTCCAGACACAACATGCATTGAATCAATTTCTCATGTGCATGTTATTGGCCGAGTATTCCTCTTCCACCTTTGTGGTTGTTGAGAATCTTTTATCGATTGAAATTAATTAATAATTATTTTTAATCAATAAAACCAGCAGATAATTGAGTTGTAAAGGACAATAAAAATATGGAGAAACTCCAATAATACAAAACCATTTAAATTTTTCAATGTAATAAAAAACAATAGTAAAATATAACGGTAAAACAAAAGATAATAACAAATAAATAACATAGAAATTTCATATTCTCATTTTATTTACTCGTTGAATCATTCAGAAATAAAGTATATCATCTTTTGATTTTAAATTCAAGATCAAAGTTTAAAACTCACTCACACAAACAATCCTATTCTAGAAAATTTATCTAAAAATCACAATGTTCAACTAAGTTTCCAACATAATGTACAACATAATGACGTTCTTTTATAAAATTCTCATGTCTTCAATCAATACTTCCCATTAAGTTCAACACATTTTCACACTGCATACAACATATCAACTACAAACTCGTAAAAGAGAATCATAACTAAGAACTAAGCTTTTGATTGATAACCAAAACTTTAACATTTCGAGGAAAAAAAGCCACATATTAGGATCTTGCAGGAACATGGAACGTTACTAATTATTTACCCATGCACATCTTCGAAGTCCTTCCTCCATATCAATGCTATTTTGTGCCACACCCATTTTAGAGTTCTATCATAAAACCAAAAAAGGGCTAAAAAAAAAGGGAAAAATCAAAGAGTAAAATTTAATTCTCAAACACCAAGAACCATTGTACATAATTAATTTCCTCAAGTAGTATCAATTATATATCATAAAAAATTCAAAAATATAAAAATTTTTAGTTTTATCAAAAGAGTTAACTGGATACACAGAAGTCCTAGGAAAAAGATGCCATAAATAATTACAAATCTTACCGACCAAATCAAGTAAAGTGAGCAGGCTATATAGATTGAAACTCCTGCCATAAAGGTTCTATCATACATTCACTAATAACAAATTTCATTGTTTTCAGTGTCCAAACAAATATAAACACAAAATAAAATAACATTTCTTGCAACTTTAACAACAAAAACAATCAATGAGAAATTAATCAAACAACTTTAACCAAAGAGAATAAAAAAAATAACTTAGAAGGATAAGCTTGATTTTAGGAGGGGGATTTTGCTAG